AATGTGCAATTAAGGGTGAAAATGTCAAAAATGAAAGGCAAGTGATGTTGTCACAATAATAGTGAAAGGTGGGAACATTATATGTTAATTACCCTTGTAATGATTTATCTGGGACTGGTTTTCACTTTTTAAAAAATTTTGGACTACGATTGCAATCAATTATTTATGTTTCTTTTTGTTTTATTTAAATAAAATGGTATGTTTGTTATTTTAAAGCTTTTAATTGAGAAAATGAATAAAAATGATCTTTTGTGGAATGAAATGTGAAAATGTCAGAAATATTAAAGGTAATGGCGTTTTTATCAATAATAATGAAAGACAAAGACGTTATGTGTCTTGTTTTAATAAATTGATAGATGGGAAAAAACACATATATGTTGTAAATGGTAAGTTTATTAGTAAATGACAATTATACCTCTGCAACCCTAAAAATTATTATCATAGTATTAGTAATCATTTTTTATAAATATAGGACTTTTGTTCTCATTATAATACACCCAAGTCTATTGACTTATATTATTTCTTCTCTTTTTCTTTATTTTGTAACACGCGTTATCAACACGATTCTCTCAATATTAAAATAAATTATTTAGAAGGTAACGGTGTTTTTTTTATAAAGATAATCATCTATCGCGTGTACCAAAATTAATTTGATGACATGTGAACTTCTTTTATATACATGTGCATGAATTATTTTTTCTTACCAACACAAGCAATAGCCTCACATATTTGTAAAAATATTTGCCATTCATATAATTTTGTATGCATATCCGTATTCAATTCTCCTTTTTTTTTTTTTATGCATATATGTACTCAATTCAGCGAGCTTTTAATCCGAGTGGGGTCCGAAGTGAATGTCCAATTAATGATTGTATACAGGATGAATTCTCTATTTTCCATTGCTGAATTTTTCACTATTATCTGTGACAATTAATTTTTGTTTATGCAGAGGTTGCTGCTGACATGCACGTGAATTAATTTAATAAAATGTTACTATATCTCGTGAATTTTATTCTATCATTAAATTCGGTATATGAATCTCCGTACTAATGGAAATATGGCACCAATACCACTTATAATATCTATGTAATACACAACACATAACAAACTAAACACAAATAATGGCATGTGAATATCTTCCAAATAAAAATGCTAACATGGATACCAAAAACACGATAAATTTAATATTTCATGGTTAAAGACATTGACAACACGATAAAGACATTGACAACACGATAAAGACTTTGACAACATCGAAATAAAAGAAGAATATGAGAAAAATAAGTTCCTCATTTGTTCTCCAACGAAAAACATCTTTAAGTGGACAACGTGAAAACACCACCAATCCCAATTTTGTTCAAAGTAATCGACAATCCAAAAACCTAGAAATTCCAAAACATAGCACGTGGTGTAGTTAGGTAAATATCAGCAAGACAACTTCAAATTAGTCTGGTTTTCCATATGAATCATTTCCAGAATAATCTTCAATCTTCACCTTCCTTACCCTATGACGCTATTTGGCACCAGATCCGAATGAATCCATATCATAGTTTCCACTACGCCTTTCGTTTCCATATTTGTACAGCTGACACTCGGTGTATGTTTTGGGAAGTTATTTGCCACCTCTTGAATCTTCCCATTGATAGTGCACTCTGCGTACCTCGTCGAGTACAGTGTACACATCGCAGTCATGCCTGCATATAATGGAATATGTTTTATTGAGTGTCCTTGTACGTAATATGCATCAAGATAAATCTGTGAATACGATAAAAGGTCGCATGTTTAACGACCTCAAAACATTTTATAATTATCGACGTAAAGTGATGTACACTTTGCTTTGCATGAGGTTACATATCTATTTTGTGAGCAACACGGAATTGGATAAAATAAGTGTGATAAGATCTTTTCGTTGGGTCATTTATGTATTTATTGCATATGTGTTGGTTGTTTGTTGATTAACTTGGTGTTAATTTGTTGTTCTATGTGAACACATTTTGAAAAGATATGTATGTTATCCTTTGTTATATTTTCATCTCATGTTTATTTGCTCTTGATTATTTACAGTTATTATCTGCTTCTACTTAGGTTTTTTTGACTTTAGCCCTGGTGAGTACATGGAAAATGTATGGTATGTTTTTTGGCCCCAAAACACGAGGTAAGGTATGTGATCCCAATTTTATTAGTTGTCTTGATTACGCAAGTATTAACTTCGTATTTTTTGATTGCTTGCAAGTCGATTCGGTATCAATGTGAAGATTTGTTGGGTTTTGATACCCAATGAATCTCGGGCTACGATCTAAATATTAGAATATAATCTTACAGACGTCAGCCAATAGTGAATTGATTTCCAACATATCCAAAGGCTCGATCCGAAAATAACGTGGACCATTGGAAGTAACTGAAGAAGTTAATGCTACTCACGACTCATATATATTTACCTATTGGATGCAATTAAATCTTGGCTCATTTAATGATTTTATTGATCCAACTAAAGTCTAACCTATTACTATATGTATGTGTTACTTTTGCCCTAGCCATTTGTGTGTGATTTGTGCAAGAAAAAGAGACAAAAACGTGGCCATTGTGAGAGAGAAATCAGCAGCCTGCTTTGGTGCCAAAAACGTATGGCTTCTTCCTTCATTTTGGTCTATCTTTGCGTGTCTTTCATAGCCTTTTTTTGTGTCTTTGTGGCATGCAAATCAACACATTTATCTTGTCCTTTGTGGGTGAGATTGAGAAGCAATTGGGGTAAATATATTGATTTTGGATCGGAGCCGTTTGAATTGATTGTTTGGTAGAAAAAAGGTTGCGTGAAACTAAGCTCGAAAAACACCGTTTAGAAGATCTTGGAGCGAGCTT